GGCTAGTTTTGTTCAAGTACTTGCAGGGTTGTCAAGTAGAAAAAAGATAAGACTCCTCTGCTGGAATCATGGCTCTGCTCCATACCACCTGGGTGATCTGTGGCAGATCACTTCTCTCTAGGCCTCAGTTTCCTCATTTATAAAACAAGAGGGTTAGACTAGATAGCTTCTGAGGTCCCTTCCCACCCTAGGTCTGTGATCTAAGGATCTTCTCCTTAGCCTCAGAGGGTCAAACTAAAAGCACTGACTGGAAGTTGCAAAAAGGCAAATCCAAGCTTGATGTCAGGGGAAAGAATTTCCTAACAATTATTCTATTCTAAAGTGGAGTGGGCAGACTCAGGAGAGTGTGGGTTCCCCACCACCAGAGGTCTTCCAGAAAAAGCTGGAGTACCACTTTCCAAGGAAATTATAATGGGAATAATATTGGGAACATAGATGGACAAGATGACCCTCTGCTGAGATCCAGCATAGCAATATCATGATGTACTGGATGGGGCATTGGATGTGAAGTCAGGAAGACCTGGGATCAAATTCCTTCTCACATAGATGACCCTGGGTAAGGTACCTAATCTTTCCTGCCTCAGTTTTCTTTATCTGTAAAAAAGGGGAAAGTTGGACTCAGTGGCCTTGAAGATCTCTGCCAGCTCTAAATAAAGAAAGGAAGGAGGAAGGGAGGGAGGGAGGAAGAGAAGAAGGAGGGGAAAAAGGGAGAAGTTAATTTGTGATAAAGAGAGAAATATTTCATTTATTTATTTGTTTTTTGGCTAGGCAATGGGGTTAAGTGACTTGTCCAGGGTCACACAGCTAGAAGCATTATGTGTCTGAAGTCATATTTGAACTCAGGTCCTCCTGAATCCAGGGCCGGTGCCCTATCCACTGCACCACCTAGCTGCCCCGGTAAGGAGAGAAATAGGTTGCCTCAGTTGTGACTTACTGTGTGTCTTCAACTTGGGGAGAAAAGATGAACTAATCCATGAAACAAGGGACCAGTCCTAAATTACTCAGTGTAGTCTAGGAGTTCTCTAGGAGTTCAAAGAAGAGAAAAGTCATGTAGATCCAGAGAAGTCAAGGAAGGCATGCTGGAAGGATTTGTAAGATTTCAATAGGTAGAGGGGAGAAGAGGTAGCATTCTAGGCAAGGGAGTTAAAAAGTAACTGATTTTTAGAGTCGGAAGAATCATTCCTTCCTTCCTTCCTTCCTCCTTCCCTCCCTTCCTCCCTCCCTTCCTTCCTTCCTTCCTTCCTTCTTCCCTCCCTTCCTTCCTTCCTTCCTTCACTTCTTTCCTTCCTTCCTTGCAAAAAACATTTATTAAACTCCTATCACATGCCAGTCACACAGTGTATATATAATATTTGGCATATATGCATATATTACATATAATGTACTTTCTGCCATGTTTGGTTGTCTCTGATTAATAAATGTACAGAAAAGAACTGCTATAATTATATAAGTATATGTGTACATATATATATATTTATAGTATGAATATATGTGCATAGATGCAATTTAACTAAATTATATAATATGTAAAATGAATGAATTGGACTGGATAATCTCGACGGTCCCCTCTAGTTCTAGGTCTATAATCTAGAACAATGGATAGTGGGAAAAGTGGTAAACTTGAAATCAGGAAGAACTGGGTTCAGATTCTACCTCTGATATTTACTAGTCATGTGACTTTGAGCAAACTACCAAACCTTAGCTTTGATATCTATGAAATGGTAATAATAATCCTTGTCATGCCAACCTCACAGGGTTTTTGTTGGGCTAAGATACATTAAGTACCTTGCCAAGTTTTTAGCCTTTAGGCTTCCTAAATGTCAGTTATGACAAAGGTTCTATTTGTAAAGTCTAAAAAAGCTTGAAGGTATCTTCTTTCAAAGAATCAGATTAGAAAGTATCTAAAGTCAAATTGGTCTAATAACCAGAAAAGTGGATAACATCTAATTACTATGAATTACCATCAGAGCCACTTTTTCTACTTGTCATCATTCTTTCTCCCCTAAAATATTCACTTTATTTGTTTTCAATAGGCTAAAAAAATTATTCTAAAAAGAAAGGACAAACTCCTATATATCCTTGTGATAGCATCTTATTTCAATGTCAAGTCAAATAAACATTAAGTGCCAGCTATGTGACAGGCATTGTGCTAAATACTAGAGGTACAAAAAAAAGGCAAAAGACAGTCCCTGCCTTCAAGGAACTTAGAGTGTAATGGGGGAGGCAATATGCAAATAACTCAGTACAAACCAGACAGTGTAGGTGTAAGGTAATCTCAGACAGAAGGCAATAGCATTGACGAAGACTGGGAGAGCTTCTAACCAACACATGGTGAGATTTAAGTGGAGCCTGAAGGAAGCCAGGGAACCCAGGGGTAGAGAGAGAGGAAGGAAGAGCATTCCAAGCATCACAGACAACCAGTGAAAAAGCATGGTGTTGGGAGATAGAGTTTTGTGTTCAAGAAGAAGTTAAGAGGCTAGTATCACTGGATGGGAGACTATGTGGAAAGGAGTAGAGCATTAGAAAGGTAGCCAGGGGCCAGGTAGTGAAGGGTCTTAAAAGTCACAGAGAAGATTTTATATTTGATACTGGAGGTAATATAGAGCCATTGGGGTTTATCAGGTAGGGATTTGACATAGTCAGGCCTGTGCTTAAAAGATATAATGATACAAGAATCCAGCCTAGAATCTGTGATAGAGAAGAAATCTGGGTAAAGTCTGACATAATACCTAGATTTTGTGAAAGTAGATTTCAAAAGGTTTGGAAAAACGATAGATAGGGATCTTTGTGTTCAAATTCTGCAGGGAGAGTCAGCTTAGGGGGTCTGGTAAGTTCACAAGACTGAAATCCTGAAGACCCAAAGAGAAACAATTCCTGTAGGAAGGGAAGTGAGGAGGGGGGTGGTGGTGGAGATTGTTTAAAGAAATAATTGTAGATTCACAGGAAATGAATCAACTGATTTAAGAACGTATATGTATGAGTGTGTGTGTGTGTGTGTGTGTGTGTGTGTGTGTGTGTATGAGTACCGATGGAGATATTAAAAAAAAGGGAAAGAAATGAACATCAATGACTCATTAAAAAATAAACGAGCAGAAAGGGTCACCAACAAGCAGACATGGGCTTTAAAGCCATGTGCTCATGACCACATGCAGGCTGGGATAGAGGTAAAAACAAGCCATAAGTTCCCATCCCCACCTTCCTCCTTGGAAACTGCTTCAAACAGCTCTGACCCTGGTGTTTAGAGCCTAAAAGGAAAAGAAGGATTAGAGGACAGGCCATTCCCTTTTTTATATCTATTGAACCATTAGCTGCTTAGGCTCTGCAGCCAATAAAGGGATTCTTCATCATCTCATAGGACAAGGCCCTCAGCGATGGTTTGGACATAGTTATAGAAGCAGGGACCTCAAAATTTCCTCCATATGGTTGCATGAAACCAGGATTCTGAGTACATGCCACAAGATAGCCTTTGAAGCACTTTAACTACCATGTTAAATTTGAAATAATAATAATAAAAGTTATACATAGTAGAGCTTCATGGGTTTTATATGCAATGTAGAGTAGTGAATACAGTGCTGACTTGGAGTGAAAGGAACCTGAGGTCAAGTCCCATCTCAGGTGCTTGCTAGATGTGTATCCCTGGGCAAGTCATTTGACTTTCACGAGCCTCAGTTTCCTCATCTTTAAAACGAAGAGGTTGGTCTTGATGGCCTCTAAGGTCCCTTCCAGTTCTAAATCTACGATTTTATGAACTCCTTTTTTTCTCCTATCTTTGTATAGAGGAATGCTTGCTGTTTATCAAGTTCAAAATAATAAAAAGGCCATTTTTAAAAAATTAAAGGGAATTCATAGAGGATCAAACGCAAATAACAAAGAATGGGCACAAGAGATAACCATGGTCCTGAAAGAATGGGGCCAGGAGAGTAAGAGCTCCAAATGAGCCGAGTCTGATGGGGAAGGTCTGGGACAGAAAGCAAGGCTTTGCTCAGTTGCATTGGGAGAAGAAAAGGATATGAACAACGTAGAGAGAGGCTGTCTGTCTGGGTGGATGGGATGATAATTGGCAAAAGAAAAAAAATGACACAGAACTGCCTAGATTTCATTTTGCTTCCTTTTTCTCTACCAGAGTGAATGAACTTTGGACTGGAAAGGACAGAACAAAAATTGCTCAGAGGGAAGTGATAACCCAAGATAAGTAGGTAGAAGAGACAACTAGGTGGCATAGTGGGTACAGCACCAGCCCTAGAGTCAGGAGGACCTGAGTTCGAATTTGGCCTCAGACACTTGACACTTACTAGCTGTGTGACTCTGGGCAAGTCACTTAACTTACCCCCCTCCCAAAAAAAAAAGATAAATAAGGAGACCGTGAATGGGCAACTGGTGAGTTTGAGTGGTGAAAAGCAAACAAACTACATCCTAGGATATTGAAAAGATGGGTAGTTAGGTATGCTCAGCTATCATCAGTCATCTTTGAAAGATTATGGAAAAAGAGAAATGACTAGGGGACTGCAGGGCAAATATTGTCCCCCCTTTTTTTTTAAAGAAAGGAAAAGAAGAAGAGGCGCTGTTCTGAGGATACAAATAGAAATGCAGGCTAGTCCCTGCTGTCAAGGACCTCACGTTCTTATGGGGGAGACAACTTAGATGGAAGATTTGAGTGGCAAGTTGAATAGAAAGGTCCCATGATCCTCAGGGTGCAGCAGCAAAACAGAAGGCAGGTCTTCTTTTTTTAATGCCACTTACACTGACAAAACTATGTTAGTTTCTGATGTAGAAATGCCTGACAGTGTCAGGGACTTTGGTGGTAAGAACTTTCCTTTCTGGGTCTTCAGTAATTATGGCTTTAGCCCTGCAGGGCAGTTGCCAGGTTGCCTTTTCCCAGGATGATGACTGGGGGCACTGGACTGATTGTGTTGCTATTCCTAAGGACCTTGGGTTCAGGGTTCTGGGCTATCCCCATCAGAGTCTGAGGGGAAATGATGGTCAACGTGATGTTGACTTACCTGGCACATACTGCCCCTGTCTCTCCCTTGGGGTGCTTTGCTGCTTCAGCTAGGCTGGCTGGCTTGCCTGCGTACAACGCAGCTGGTGGGGAGAATCAGCTGCCTTTCCATAGGAGTGGCTTCCCCAGGTGATGTCCATGAAGGCTGGGCTAGAAGAAGGAATGGTTGTTTTAGAGAGTGGGGGTGGGGATTGCTGCCATTACTGGAGCTCTTGTGTCCATTTATCTGTCAGTGGCAGTTGGTCAGCAGCTGCCACTGGTGGTAATGAGGAGGGTGGGCCCCCTTCCACAATGATTCCTTCAATGATGGCTGTGGGGACTGGACTGGAAGCAGGTCTAGTGGTCTGAGTGGCACTACTATGCCCAAAGCTTTTGGGTTCAATGTCCAGGGCTGTCTCCATAAGGTTCTGAGAGGAGATTGTGGTCAAGGTAGAGGTGGTCATTTGACTTGTCTAGTACATGTTGCTTCTTGTCTCTCTTTACGGTGCCTTCTGCTGTAACTAGGCTGGTTTGCCTGCCCCGCGCAGAATTCAATCAGAAATGAATTGAATTCCACACTGTGTATGCAGAAGACATGAGCTGACTCCCCGAATCACTAGACATTTAATAATATAATCATAATGAATTGGACAAAAGCATACATGGCATAGTTGTCAAATTTACAGATAACACAGAAGTAGGAGGGGTATCCAACAAGTTGGATAACAAATTCGGGAACCAAGTTGCTTCAACAAGCTGGAATATGAGATAGAACCTAGCAGATGTAATTTTATAGAGGTAAATGTAAAGTCTCACAGTTGGGTTTTGAAAAATCAACTTTGCGTAGATAAGACGATTGAAGCACGGGTACTCAGGAGTTTGAAAAAAGATTTGCAGGTCTTAGTGGACTGCAAACATGAATATGAATCAGTAGGGAATGGTGGCCAAAAAAACTAATATTATCTTAGAGCACACTAAGAGATTCATAGTACTGGAGACTAGGGAAATGATAGGAATACTGTGCTTTACACAGGCCAGACCATATCTAAAGTATTATGTTTAGTTCTAGACATGATATATTTGAAAAGACAATAATGGACTGGAGAACAGACAGAGGAAAGTAATCAAGACGGCTATAGAAAATGGAGGTGATTTGGGAGAGCAATTTGGAACTCTGCTGAAGGGCTATACAAATGTGCCTCCCCCTTGACCCAGCAATAGCACTGCTAGGGCTGTATCCCAAAGAGATCATAAAAATGGGGAAAGGACCTTCATGTACAAAAATATCTATAGCAGCTCTTTCTGTGGTGGCAAAGAATTGGAAATTGAGGGAATGCCCATCAATGGGGGAATAGCTGAACGCGTTGTGGTATATGAATGTAATGGAATACTATTGTGCTACAAGAAATGACGAGCAGGCCAACTTCAGAAAAACCTGAAAAGACTTGTATGGACTGATGCTAAATGAAGTGAGCAGAATCAGGAGCATGTTGTACACAGTAACAGCCACGTTGTGCGATGACTAACACTGATAGACTTGGCCCTTCTCAGCAGTGCAAGGTTCTAAGACATTTCCAAAGGTCTCATGATGTAAAATGTTATCCACATCCAAAGAAAGAACTATGGAGTTTGAATGCAGATTGAAACACACTATTTGCTATTCTTTTTCCTTCTGTTGTGTTTTGTTTCCTCTTTCTGGTGGTTCCTCCTATTGGTTCTAATTCTTTCTTACAACATCACTAATGTGAAAATGTGTTTAATAGAAATGTGTATGTGTAGCCTATATCAGATTACCTGTAGTCTTTGGGGCAGGAACAAAAGGAGAGAAAAATTTTAAACTTAAAAGTTTATGGAAGTGATTGTTGATAAATCAAAATAAATTAATTAAAAAAAGAAAAGAAAATGGGGACGTTTAGCCTGGAGAAATGAAGATTCTAAGGAGGGTAGGGTATAGTGGTCATTAAGTATGTTAAGAGGTATCTAGGGGAAGAAGGATTGCACTTGATCTGTGTGGCCCCAGGGGGCTGAAACAAGAGTAATGTGACTCTATTGGAATGTGAGTTCCTTCATTAGAATGGAAGCTCCTTGAGGGCAGGGGCTATGTTTTTGGCTTTCTTTGAATCCCCAGCACTTAATATAATTCATAGCCCATAATAAATACTCCATAAATTCTGGTTAACTGATTATGGGCAAATGATAGGACCCTTCTGTGCCTAAGTTTCTCTATTACCAAAAAAGCAGGATAATAACCTCTGCCCTAACTCCTCTTGGCTATTGGTAAAGTATGCTAAAACAGTCATCTCTCATTATTTCAGAAACTAAGAATTTAGTTTCTTAGTCAAGAACTGAGAATAACTAACTATTCAGAAAATAAGCCAATATACAGAATGTTTCTACAAAACAATTTATAAAATAGGTTAACAGTGGAAGGGGTGATGGATTTAGAGTCAAAGGACCTGAGTTCAAATCTTGGCTCTGCTACTTATTAGCCAGAATTCAATTTCTTATCTACAAAATTAGAGAGTTGGATTAGATGATCTCTTAGGTCCCTTTTAGCTCTGGCTCAATGATTCAGCAAATAACATTTGGCATTCATCTTGATAAAATTTATCCAAATGGAATTTTATGTCCTGCTTACATCTGTTTTTTGAGGCTCTAACAATCGCCCTGAGCCTAGAGGGAAACCTGGTCATGAATGATCTTCCGTATGTCTCCAGCACTTGACTTTACACAGAGGGTAAGCTGAGGTCAAAAGCATCATTGCCATATTTTCACTACCTTTCTTAAAAACATTTCAGATGAAACCCTGCCTGTTTCTGTCTCACAGAGGAGAAAAGAGGCAGGCAGGGAAGGGTTAAGAGGTTGGAAAGACTGAAGCAGCCTCAAGAAGAGAGGGAAACAGGAGGCCTGCCTCTGCTTTTCTCCTCTGGGTGTTTTAATTCCAACTTGAGGCCAGAGATATTTGGAAAGAGGCCACCAAAAGTGAAAATGAACCATAGGACCATAGCCTGCTCAAGCTGGAATGATTGAAGAAGTGAGAGGAGCAAATCCAGAGAGAAAATTGGCTTTGGAAGTAAAATGAGAAGCAATAAGACATTTGGAGGTGGGGGAGAAAATCCGTCAAATTTAGAAGTTTACTGACCCTGCTCTACCTCTCATTTCATGGTTCCATTACAGAGCTAGTACTTTTTTTTTTAAATTAACTTTCCCAAGTGATTTATTTTGAATATCCTTATTACATTTTTATCACAAAATGGTCAGTTGTCTTATGCATCTAAGGTATTATTCTGCATTTTCAAGTCTTATTTTTATTATAGCTTGGGACCACTTTGATCCCCCCAGGAGATCGCATTTCTGTGATTTAATAATGGAAATCAATGAAAAAAGAGGGTTGAGTATATACATTTTTTTTTCTTTTTCAGTTAACTTTTAAGGAACTTATATGTCCTGCATATGGAGAGCAGAGGTCACAGATGTAAAGGCATCATACAAATAAGAACATGATGCAAATCTAATGGAGGAAAAGGAAAGTGAGGTCAGATAAATAGCCACATAAGTTCATTGATTCAGAGCTTAATAGGAACTTTGAGATTATCTAGTATCAGCCTGTCGTTTGTATTTTATTATTTATTTATTCATTTGTTTGTTTATTTATTCGTTTGTTTGTTTATTTGGCAATTGAGGCTAAGAGACTTGCCCAGGGTCACACAGCTAGTAAGTGTCAAGTGTTTGGTCTGAGGCCTGATTTGAACTCAGATCCTCCTGACTTCAGGGCCAGTGCTCTATTCTCTGTGTCACCTAGCTGCCCCTCATCATTTTTACCAAAGAAGAAAATGAGGCCTAGAGAAGACAAGAGATTTGCCCAAGATTATATAATTAGAAAGTAGAGAGAACTAAGTTTTGAACTTCGGTCCCAGTTCAGTGCTCTTTCTACTACGCAATGGCACCTTCCCATTATAGCATGCAGCCTGATGATGATATCTTTGTCATCAGAGGAACACATGACCAGGCTGGAAGAAAGGTGGACCAGTAAAATAGTAGTGTGAAGGATAACCAAAGGGTGGGCCTTTGATGTCAATGTACTGTCAAGAGAATGAGAGGAACACCTTCGGCATGTTGGGTAGGCAAGGGGACAAGGATGGTAGTTTCATTGAACGAGCAGGTGGGAATAGATTGCTATCTCCATCTTTGGTGGTAATATGCATTTTGATGAAATCACAGATCCAGTGGAGTGGTGGATGACATTATAATGTCAGTAATAAGAACAGCTTACATTAGCTTAGAAGTTTTGGTAATTTCTGAAGCATTTTCACATTGTTTCTAGTTTGATCAACAGTCAAACAATCCACAGATGAAGCACCTACAGTGTTCAAATCACTGCCCTAGGTGCTGAAAGGGATGCCAGGAATTTTAGGCCATGATCCCAGACGTCATGCAACTTACAGGTTCAAACAGGAAATGCCAATCAACAGGACCGGGCAAGATAAAGTTAATGGAAAATCAGTGGCACTGAGGTGGCAATATGGCACCATGGACAGAGCACTGGACCTGGAGACAGAAGTTCAAATCTGGCCTCCCACACTAACTAGCTGCGTGATCCTGGCCAAGTACTTCACCTCTGTCCACCTCAGTTTCCTCATCTGCAAAACTGAGATAATAATAGTAATTGCATCCTAAGGTTATTTTGAGGATCCAATGAGATAATATTTGCAAAGTGTTTTACAAGCCTTAAAACTGCTACCTAGGCTGTTCCAAAAGTCTTAGCAGTTTGAAGCTTTAATAGTCAAGACATCACCCTCCTGAGGTCACTGGTCCTCTTGAAGATGAAAGGACAAACAACAAGCAACATTATTATATTGTGAGTAGCACATACAAAAAAAAATATTACGTGAAGTCAGAGGAAGGAGGATTCTTGTGAGCTGAAGTCAAAAGGGAAGGCTTCATGGGTAATGGGAATCTGAGCTTGACCTAAGAGGATAGTTGGGACTTTGGATAGGTAGAAAAGAGAGAGAAAGGTATTGTAGGTATGGGGAACAATGTGAGTAAAAGTGAAGAGATGGAAGCTCACAAGGTATGTGAAAAAGATGAGAAGATCTGCTAACTTTGAGCATTCGGGTTGAGGAATAATATACGTGATTATTGGACAAGATAGGTAAATAGAGAAAGCATTC